CCCCAAAACCCCAAAACCCCAAAACCCCAAAACCCCAGAGGATTGAAATTGAAGATTAATATGCTTAAAAATAATTATCAATCTTATACTAAGCTATTTTATTATTTAAAACTGATTATAAGTTGATTTAAGCATATTATTGCAATTCCTGAATATAAAATCTTTATACTTTTGAATTTAATTAAAAGCATATCATCATTATTTTTCTTCATTATTCAATCAATATCTTCAAATATACTAAACCTTTTAGATTACTTATCATATATACCAGAATTAACCCATCCTGTCTTAAAAAGTTAAAAGGTTGATGGATTACAATATGCTGTATCCAATTTTACATCAAAGCTATATTCATAATATTAAAACTAGTTCAAATAATATGTATTAAAATCTGTGATGCAAAAGTAAGTGTCTTTATTTTTATCAAAGGTAAGATTAATTTAATTTTTATCTCTCTTATTTTGATTATCATCAACTTTAAGTTAAAGATTAACTTCTTTAATATGTTCTTGTTTTATCAACTTATTTTCCAATATTTTTGAGCGTTTCAATTCGAATTTCTTGTAAAATCTAGGATAAATTTAAATGTTCCTTCTTTAAACATCAAGTAGAGAATCAGTCAACCTTTTGAAGTAGTTCTAATGAACTTTGGAGATATATTCCATCATTTTATACATATAACCTGTTTGATCTTGTAGATCCATAGTCATCAATTACTTGAGTTAAAATTTGGTAAATTCTGGGTCATCAAATACATTCTTCATTTTTAATTCTTAAAATTTTTTTTATAATTCCTTCTCATTTTGCTCTAACTTTTAAATTTATTAAAGATGCATATTGCAAATATTGCATTCGTTTACTTAGGGAATATGTTATTTGAGTTATTATTAATTTTAGATAGGAGATGTATAAGAAGTCTAATTTTATGTTTTATTTTTCATTTAAGTATTTTCTGCTTTTAGAGAGCTAGAATTCTAGGTCTTATTAAGGTTTTTAATTATAGTATAGTTATCATTTATTGTCTAATTACTTGACTTATATTAATTTATTAACTAATCGAATATAATTTCAATAGAACTCCAAAAATCTTTTGCATGCTTATAATCATTGATATATTTTTATGGTACGTTTTCATTTATTAGATTTTTAAGTTTTGATATTTTGTCTTAAAATAGTTAAACTTAATCTTAACCATTTTATGAATTATCTGTCGATGTTTCGTCTTTATTTTCTTCCTCAAAAGGTTCATTTTAAGATAGATTTAATTTTTCATCTTAATTTTTTAATATTTATGATTTATCTATATATTTTTTTTTCAATTTATTTAGATTTTCTACCTATGCTTATTATAGTAGTTAGCGCTTCATTTAAAAATTATCAGAATTCTATTATTTATTTATTACTTGCCAATCTTAATCCGATATATTTAAAGGAAGAGTTTACTTCTGTTAAATATCAGCAGTTTATTGCTTTTCTAATGAAGGGATTTCAATAGAATTCAACGACTAAAAACACAGATAAGTAATATTTTCTGCATTATTACTTTCGGATTATCTTTCATATATCTCTTTATTTTTATCTTGAGGATTTTAACTAGGAGTGTTTTTTGAATTGCATCCAACGGCGTTAAGCTCTTCTAGTTTTTTCTTTTATCTCTAACACTTTTAATCTATTTTTTTAATGGATTTTTCAATAAATGAGAAGTTATAAGAAATCAGGTCTAAGTCAATTTTTACTTTTGAAGATATACTACAGAAATTTAGTTTTTGCATTTTCTGTTATTGTTCTTTTTATGTCTTGCTAACTGATTACCAAATTAAAAATGGTTTTAATTCTTGTTGTTTCCTTTAATACTCTAGACTAATAGACTATTGCACTTAATTTAGTTTAGAAGTTTGCTTTATTACATTAAGCTATTCAAAATCTTTTGTGGAAAGATTGTTATTTTTGCTAGCTGAAAACTAATGAGGGACATCCACTATCTTTAGAATTTTATTATCAACTTGCGCACATAAATTAAAAGTTTATCTTTCTAAATTATTGAATAGTTCATTTTAAATGTATAATAGGTCAGGCTCCTCTCCAAAGTCATGCTAGTATAGATAATCCAAAATAGAGAATATAACTTTATCTTCCTTTGATTTAGGAGGTTATTTTAAAGCAGTAGTTTTCTCATCAATCATAATTTTTATTTATTACTGATTTAATTGACCTAGTTCTTATTTGTACCATGGAAGGGTTTTATGTCTGAGTAAAAGTAATGTATAAGCTGCAGAAATGTAATCATCTCTTCTGGACGCTTCAATCCCTTGCTGTGTGGATATAGAGGCCAGAGCATGACTACCTCTTATTTATCTGTTCCTTTACTCTGGTATATGCTCACCATATTGATTTGTATATTAGATAGATGAGCCAAAATCGATAAGACAAATTTTGTTGTTCTAAACGCTGAAATTATCAGGTTTAATGTCTCTGTGCAAGTATCCTAAGTCATGCAGCTACTTAATGCTTTCAAACATCATTTCAGCGATCTGATAGAAACTTAACCCATTAGGATTAGAGACATTTTTATAGAAGAAATCTTCTAGAGTTGTACTGAAGTATTGCATTATCAGATAGGGTGTTCCAGAGGTACTTCCATGATCATAGTATTTAGGTATTGGCATTTCATTTCCTAGATGATTTCTGCTCTGAATTATTTGGTTAATGTTTCTGAGATTGATGGATTCTTATAACAGAGCGTTTCCAAACTTCATATTCTCAAATTTTATAACGACGAGGTCATTGTATTTGTTCTTGTATAAAGCTGCGGTTCCAAAGACACCTTATCCAATTATTTTGTCAGCATATATATATTCTTTGATATTCTGTGGTGGTAAAAACTATTTCATAGTTAATAATATAAATTATTCTATTTATGATCAATGAAACTAATAAATTCTTAACTCATGGGGTTTTGGGGTTTTGGGGGATTATATTCTTTAGAGGTTCAAGCATTC